CAAAAACGCAGCAATAGGCCCAAATTTTATATCTCTTCCCTTTTGCTCTTATTTATTTGCTTGTTATGTCGACTAATATTTATTCGTGAATTGGTTCTAACTTAATTAAATTCCCGAAGATAACCATTTCCTTTCATATATACGTATATATCCAAATTGAAATATTTACATACTTAGCTCTACTTTTACGTTTCGTCTTATCACATGTTCTTCCCCTTTAGAAACTCCCCTTTAGTTCATTCCCCCTTTAAAATAAATAAAGTGATAAAAGTAATAATGGTAATAAATAAATTAGTTTTCTTACTAAGTTAAAATTTCAAAATAAATTAGTTTTCTTACTAAGTCAATTTCAAAAAAATAAAAATAATAAATAAATAAAAAATAAAATAAAATATAGTTAATATAAATTAGTTCTTTTACTAAATTAAAATTTCAAAAAAAGTATATAGTTAATATAAATGAGTTCTTTTATTTAGTTAGAATTTCAAAGTTAGTCAAAAAATCACTTTTAGTCAAATCGCCGGTCAACCGCAAGTTAGCGGGCATTTCGAGGGCCTAACACCTTCTCGGAATGTACATTGAACTTCGAACCCTTTTCAATTGATTTTATCTGTTTTAAATCTTTTGAAAAACCTTAAGATTTTTCTTGATTTTTACTAAAAATTAAGTAGCGACTCTGTCATTTTGGAAATTCGATTTCTCTTAAACTATAAGTTTAATTGATTTTTCGAAAACTAAGTCATTTTCTCTTTACATATATTTTTAAATAAAACAGAAATGTCGACTCTGCTGGGGATTTAATTAAGTTCTAACCATAAGATTTGACTTATTTGATTAATTGTTATTAATTGTTGAAACTGTTCATTTGTGCTTAACATGTTTTAACTACTATAACTGTCATTGCATTTCATGACATCTTCTTTTGTATGAATAGTATATTAAAGGACGGTTTTGCGGAATCGCAACCGGACTTTTTTATACTCAACCCTTTTCCGGAATGATCGGCAATTTATTGGTTCGTCATGCGTTCAATGGTTGTCGTGAATTCCAGCCTAAGTTGTCCACTTGGATTCCCGGTCTTTCAAAAACCACTCTTAGTCAAATAGCGTAGAGCGAAACCAAATCCCTATTTTTAGCGCATTTTGAACTAAGTCGACCCAACACCCAAGGCGTGTTGGGCCCATTAGAAGTCCACCTTGTGTCTATTTGGCTCATTTGCCAATAAAAAGACAATCATACTTATGTGTTAATTGAATGATGTATATGTATTTTTAAAACAAATCAATTATCTATAGGGGTGGGGGTAGCTTACCTTTGTCTGTTTTTCATGTAGGATGAATCCAGTACATGAGCCTCTGAGGACCCGGATGGTGACCATACCACATCCCTACTTACAAGTTTGGTGGAAATTTATGAACACAGAAGACAAGAAGATAGTTCAAAGACACATAGGTCATCTTTCGTCATTAATGGAAATGGTGGCCTATCCCGACATGATTGGAACAATGGTTAAGTTTTGGGACAGCGACAATATGGTATTTCGGTTCGGGGAAGTGGAAATGACGCCGACTATTGAAGAAATCCTTGCAAGCTACGAAAGTGTCAGTATGTGCAACAAAAGGAGGTTCAAACCCGATACGGATCTCCTTTTCCCAAAAACATGGGATTTCGTCGAAATTAGAGAAAAATTGTCACTCGTTAAAGCCGATTGGATGGACAAAATGCCCGGGCCAAACATTCCTCTTCGAAAGCTTTATTACCGATTCGGGCGTGCAAGAGCCTATGAAAAATTCAAAGAAGAGTTCGTCTCAGAAGAAAAATGGAAGGAGACACGTCCTCTTGCCTTTGCAATATGCCTACTCGGGACGATGATATTTCCTCAAGGACCAAACTACACTATCCATCCAAATGTAGTAATGGTCACCCACGCCATCTTTTATGGAGTGGATTACGGGTCGGCAACCAAGTACTACACTTTGGCACTCATGATTTTGGTAGACATTTATAGGGCTTTGAACAAGTGTCAAAGCGGAGAACGTTTCTTTCAGGGATGCAACCTGATACTGCAATAGTGGATGATGAGACACTTGATCAAAGCTCATGAGCCAACAGAACCAGATCCCTTGGAAAGACCGAACAGACTCGAAAGTCACGATTGGTGGGTGCAACGTAATCATTTCAACAGGGTTGGAGGCCAAGAATTTTGGTACCCGAGACTTCAGGGTTTGAGAGATGAAAATGTGCAGTGGTCGATCCAATGCTTGGTAGTAACAAAACGAATGGTGATTCGAGCGGAAAAAACCCCTTACTTGATATTTGCCGGGTTAAGAGGGACTAGACCATATGCTCCCGGTCGAGTCCTTAGACAGCTGGGAGGAAAACAGGAGATTCCCCAAATTGCGGACATGAAGAAATTTGCAACCGATCATGAAAATGGACGAGTCTCTTATGCTGAAGAGATACGTAGAGCATGGAAGACTCGAAGGATATTGGGCGAACCGGTACCAAATAGATTCCGTCCTGAATGTTCCAGAGGCACTAGACCCGAAGCTACTGAAGAAGATACTGGGGAGGAAATTGTCTATAGGCCTCCTCTTTAGGGACGGTGGAAGAAAGGGAATGAGAAAACCACCCGTGAAGCATATGAGTTTACCCCCCGTGATTAATACGACAGTCAGAGGAAGAAGCCTCGGTGAAGGCACCATCTATCCTTTAGGAGCTTTCTTATCTGTTTTTCACTTTCCTTGTAATCACCAGAAATGAATGAATGAAATGAAAATTTCCTTTGTATTCGAACTACGTAGGGCCTGAATTCTCCTTGGGAGATAGTAGGCAGCCTTTCAAGGCCCGACCCCTATCTTTTTCAATTTTTTTCCCCCTCTTTTATTCTACAAGGAAACATTGAGTTCAGATCAACAGATGACAGAAGATGCAACAAGAAGACCTTAGCTCAAAGCAATTTAGCCTTTCTAAGTCACTAGCCCCAAAATAAAACGAGAAAATTCCTGCTTGTTAAAAAAAAAATAAAAAAATCAGTCCCCATTACTCGTGGGTTAACGTGTCCTCAAACGAAGCAACTTTTATGTGTTTACCTGCTTTCTACGTGATATCTTGCATTATTTATCCAGAACAAATACTGACAGATTTGTCTTTGAGTTGTTCTTCTTTAAAGGTAGTTAGAACTGATCTGTGTTGATACACTGGCTGAACACCCCTATTTTACCAGATCAAAAGGGCCTACAGATTCCTTTCCCAGCCAAAATTCACAAAAGGGGAAAACAACAATGGGTGATAACAACGAAGAAATCGACCTTACTGATGTCGTGGTGGCTCAGCCCGCCCTTACTGATCAGAATGAACTGATTCTGCAGTTGATGCAACAAATTGCTGAGATGAGGGTCGAGATGCAGAAAAAACAAGATTTTCCTCCTTCGATATTTGCTGTCAACACTCAACCAGACGGAAGACCTCCAGTTCAAATTCCCCTTCCTAACGTGGAACAAGCTCAGAACCCACCTTCAAGTCCTGCTCGTAATCCCTCCATCATTGACCTTACCACCCAAAACCCCCATTACGCCTCAACCTCTTATCAAATACCACCCCCTCCTCAAAATACCAACTTCCAAGACCCACTCCTTCCCCCTAATGCAAACCACCAAACTGGCCTACCCCTCCACAGCCAAAACGCTAACAACCCACGTACTTCTCTCCCTCACCAAAACCTGTACACCAACCCCCAGACTTATCCCCAAAACTATCACGCCTCTTTAAATGGCCAGAGTCCCTCTATCGCTCCACCACTACCGCAAAAAGCCATTTTCCAAATACCAGTCCCCAACGAGCATGATGCCCATGGTTCGGAACTCGACCACTATAAGGAGAGGGAGAGAGAGTGGAGGTCGAAGGAAGAGACCGCCAAGATAGATATGAAGGAGGAAATTAGAAAAGCCATGAAGGAGTTGAACTGCATTCCTGAGGTCGCCGGATTGAGTTATGAAGACCTGTGCATTCACCCGAATTTGGACCTCCCAGAAGGGTTCAAGGTGCCAAAATTTGACATTTTCGGAGGAACGGGGAACCCCTTGGCACACTTGAGGGCTTACTGTGACCAACTCGTAGGAGTTGGGAGAGACGAAGCTTTGTTAATGCGGCTTTTTAGCCGAAGTTTGAGCGGAGAGGCTCTAGAATGGTTTACGTCTCATGAAACGAAACAGTGGTCCAGTTGGAACGCTTTGGCTAAGGACTTCATAGAACGATTCGCCTACAATGTGGAGATCGTTCCTGATCGTTACTCCTTGGAGAAGATGAAGCAGAAGTCGACCGAAAGCTATAGAGAATTCGCATACAGATGGCGAAAGGAGGCAGCTAGAGTTAGACCTCCTATGTCAGAAAAGGAAATTGTTGAAGTGTTTGTGCGGGTGCAGGAGCCCGAATATTATGACAGAATCATGTTGCTCGTTGGAGCAAAATTTGCTGAGATAGTCAAAGTAGGTGAGACTATTGAAGATGGATTGAGAACCGGGAAGATTGCCCGTGTTGCTGCCTCGCCCGGATCTTCGGGCTTGTTGAAGAAGAAAAGAGAGGATGTGTCCTCTATCTCTTATGAGGGGAGGAAGACCCTGAAGAAGTCATCATCATACCAAGGTCGTTCTTGACCTTCACAGAGTTTGTACCCGGCATATTATGCACAGGTTGATTACCAAAATACCCCTCCCACCAATTACCAAAACACCCCTCTTCCCAGTTGTCAAAGTACTCCCTCTCCTAACTACCAAACTCCCCCTCCAGTTTACCATACTCCATCTCATCACTACCGAAATGCTGCCCCCAACTGTGCCAACATTCAGACAAATTACCAAACGCCTCCCCCAACGTACCAAGCCCCAGCTCCACTTTACCAAAATACCCCCTCGAACTACCAAGCTCCACAACCAAACTACCAAACCAACTCATATCCCAAATATCAAGCCCCCCATCTGAATGCTCCAAATTATCGCCAAATGCCTCCCCCTCAACAAGGCAATTACGATCCCCCCCGTCCTAGATTTGAGAAGAAGCCTGCTAGAATTTTCACTCCGCTTATTGAAAGCCGAACAAAGTTGTTCGAACGATTAACTGCGGCAGGATATATTCACCCAGTGGGGCCCAAGCTGGTTGACACTAGCTCAAAGTTTTACAGACCTGATCAGAGGTGCGCGTATCACTCCAACAGTGTTGGTCATGATACCGAGGACTGTATCAACCTAAAGCATAAGATCCAAGACCTAATTGACCAGAACATGGTCTCTCTTCAGACAGTCGCGCCCAATGTCAATAACAATCCTTTGCCAAATCATGGAGGCGCTACTATCAATATGATAGAGATAGATGATGACTGGTGTGTGGCGAAGACAATAGTTTCGATTGCCCCTGATGAACTGGAAAGGGCTGTAGCTTCGTTGAGCATCAGACAGAAGAAAGAGTTTGTGATTCTGATACCCGAGAAGGCTGTTGCCTTGGTGCCACGAGAAACTCTTACCCAACCAAAGTTTGTGATTGAAACGGCTGCCACCCAAGGTATGACCAGATCCGGCAGGTGCTACACACCTGAAGAGTTAGCTCAAGGAGGGCAGAAGAAGGATCAGACTAAAAGGCCGATCAGTGAAGCTGAAGTCGAAGAGTTCTGGAGGAAGATGCAGCCGAAAGATTATTCAATTGTGAAGCATTTGGAGAAGACACCAACACATATTTCTGTGTGGGCTTTATTAATGAGTTCACAGTTGCATAGACAGGCTTTGATGAGAGCTTTGGATGACACTTATGTGCCTGTGAGTACTAACAGCGACAATCTAGCAGCCATGATACACCAGGTCATTTGGGGACATCGAATCAGCTTTTGTGACGAAAAGTTGCCCTTTGAAGGGAGGATGCACAACAAATCTATGCACGTCACCATCAAGTGCCGGGAAAAAGTTATAAATCATTTTTTGGTCGACGATGGGTCCGGTCTCAACATATGTCCGCTTTCAACTCTCAAGCAGCTGAAATTCGACTTGGGAAAGGTTCAACAAAACCAGGTCAATGTGAGAGCTTTTGATGGAGTACAAAGAGACACGATAGGGGCAGTAAATTTGGATGTTCAAATGGGGCCTGCAGAATTCAATGTGGAGTTTCATGTGTTGGACATCAATACCAGCTACAATTTGCTTCTGGGAAGGCAGTTTATCCACATGGCTGGGGCTGTGCCTTCTACCCTTCACCAATTGATGAAATTTGTTTGGAAGGATCAGGAATTGGTCATTCATGGTGAGGGGAGTCATTCCTATGGGTATGCGCCGGTCGTTCACGAGGTTTCTCGAGGTTGTGATTTCTACACGGTGGAGCTGGTAAATGCCACCGGTGATGATTTGGCTCCGCAACCTCTTATGCCTGTCGTGTACAAGATGATTGCTGCTGTTATACTCCAGAATGGTTTCGAACCAGGTTTTGGATTGGGGAAGCATTTCCAAGGAATCGTCGAGCCTATCCAAATTCCCGCCAAAGGAGCAAAGTTTGGTTTGGGATATGTCCCAACAGATGACGAAGCAGAGATGAAGAACAAGAATGTTGACCAAGCATTGGTCAGGCCAATTCCTCATCTGTACCAGTCATTTCCGGTACGAGAAAATGTCAACGATGGTGGTCTCGGGGAAAGAATCTGGGGCCTTTTTGAGGAGATTGATGCGGTCATCGAGGAAGAGGCTGGGACATCAGGCATCCGCGATGCAGAACCTGAAGAGCAATTGCAGAACTGGACCTCCACACCACTCCTGATTTCCCGCTCATCTGGGTAGAAAAGACATGTGTCTTTGTTTGTTTTAAAATCGGTGGTAGTCCGGAAGAGGCCCGAGACCCATCCTTTATGCAACTGTTATCTGTTTGAAGCTTTTAAATTCCTTTGTGATGTTTAAAAAGGCAATATGGTCCTCGGCCATGGCCAAAGTTTGTGCTTGTCTTTCAATTTAAATGAAAGCCTCTTTTATCAAAAATTTGTTTACTCGTCTGTTTATATTTTACTTTCCTAACTTTGTTTGTTTATGATTTCAGTAATAATAATTTAAAACCTGCCAATGTCATGTCATGTCATGAACCGAGTGAACAAAATGAGGCAGGTGATGATGAGTGAGAAGAATACGGAGAAGAAAATGAGGTTTCCGAACATGTTGCTGAAGAGTTTCGACAATTCAAAAATCAACATAAGCCAAATTTGGAAGAAACCAAAATGTGAATCTCGGAGATGAGGAATGTGTTAAAGAAGTAAGAATCAGTGTCCATCTGACGGAAGCTCAAAGAAGAGACCTGGTTCACTTGCTTGGGGAGTACATTGATGTATTTGCCTGGTCTTATAAAGACATGCCAGGGCTGAGCACAAATATGGTGTCCCACAAGTTGCCGATCAATCCAGATTTCAGTCCAGTAAAACAAAAGACTCGGAAGTTCAAGCCTGAGTTGAGTTTGAAGATCAAAGAGGAGATTACAAAGCAGATCGAGTCCCAAGTAGTGGAAGTGACGCAGTATCCAACTTGGTTAGCTAATGTTGTTCCGATTGCCAAGAAAGACGGAAAAATAAGAATTTGTGTCGATTACAGAGATCTCAGCAAAGCTAGCCCAAAAGATAATTTTCCATTACCAAATATTCACATTCTCATTGATAACTGTGCTAAGCATGAGATGCAGTCATTTGTGGATTGTTATGCGGGTTACCACCAGATCCTGATGGATGAAGAAGATGCAGAAAAAACAGCTTTCATCACGCCTTGGGGTGTATATCATTATCGGGTGATGCCTTTTGGTCTCAAAAATGCCGGTGCTACTTACATGAGGGCTATGACGACCATTTTTCATGATATGATTCACAAGGAGATCGAGGTGTATGTAGATGATGTCATAATCAAGTCCCGCGAGAGTTCGGATCACTTGACTCACTTGAGGAATTTTTTTGATCGTTTACGCCGATACAATTTGAAATTAAATCCCGCCAAATGTGCTTTTGGAGTGCCAGCTGACAAGTTGTTGGGATTTATAGTGAGCAGGAGGGGCATTGAGCTTGACCCTTCCAAGATCAAGGCGATCCAAGAATTACCTTCTCCAAAGACCAAGAAAGAGGTGATGAGTTTTTTGGGAAGGTTGAACTACATCAGTCGGTTCATAGCTCAATCCACTGTGGTGTGTGAGCCTATCTTTAAGTTATTGAAAAAAGATGCCTCGACCAAGTGGACCGGAAAATGTCAAACGGCTTTTGATGCTATCAAGAACTATTTGTCCAATCCACCAGTGTTGGTCCCTCCGCGAGAAGGGAGTCCGTTATTGTTATATTTGTCTGTCTCAGATAATGCATTGGGATGCGTGCTTGGTCAACATGACGAAACTGGGAAGAAAGAGCGAGCCATCTATTACTTGAGCAAAAAATTCACTCCCTACGAGGCTCGTTACACTCTGTTGGAGAGGACATGTTGTGCTTTGACCTGGATTGCTCAGAAGTTAAGACATTATTTGTCTTCTTATACCACATACCTTATTTCCAGGATGGATCCATTGAAGTATATTTTCCAGAAAGCAATGCCGACTGGAAAGCTAGCTAAATGGCAAATGCTTTTGAGTGAGTTTGACATTGTGTATGTGACTCAGAAGGGGATAAATGCACAGGCCTTAGCCGATCATCTTGCAGAGAATCCAGTTGATGAGGAGTATGAACCGCTCAAAACTTATTTTCCTAACGAGGAAGTTTCATTCGTGGGCGAAGATATTTCTGAAGCGTACCCCGGATGGAGAGTATTCTTCGATGGAGCGGCGAATCATCAAGGGAAAGGAATAAGAGCGGTCTTAGTGTCGGAAACCGGTCAGCACTATCCTATGGCGGCTAAACTTCGATTTGAATGCACGAACAACATGGCTGAGTATGAAGCTTGCATCCTCGGTCTGAAGATGGCAATTGATATGAATGTTCACGAGTTGCTGGTTATTGGAGATTCAGATTTGCTGATTCATCAGGTTCAAGGGGAATGGGCCGTGAAAAACCCAAAGATCACACCGTATGTGCGGTATATACAGAAGTTGTGCAAGAGATTTTGCAAGATTGAGTTCAGACACACTCCCAGGACACAGAATGAGTTGGCTGATGCTCTTGCCACCATTGCGTTAATGATTAAGCATCCAGATACAAGTTGTATTGATCCAGTGGATATAGAGGTGAAAGAGCAGCATGTCCATTGTTCACATGTTGAAGCGGAATCAGATGGTTTGCCTTGGTATTTTGACATCAAGAAGTATCTAGAGACCGGGACTTATCCGGAGAATGCAACGTTCAACCAGAAGAAGTCGATACGCCGTATGACCCTCAGCTTTTTTGTAAGTGGGGAAATCCTTTATAGGAGGACTCCAGATTTAGGTTTTCTTAGATGCGTGGATGCTAGTGAAGCTGCTAAGCTTTTTGAACAGATACATGCCGGAGTTTGTGGTACTCATATGAATGGACTCACTTTATCGAGGAAGATCCTTCGAGCCGGCTATTTTTGGATGACTATGGAACATGATTGTTGCAAGTTTGTGCAGAAATGTCATAAATGTCAAGTGCATGGTGATTTAATTCGGGTGCCACCTCACGAACTCAACGCTATGAGTTCACCTTGGCCATTTGTAGCTTGGGGCATGGACGTCATTGGTCCAATAGAGCCAGCTGCCTCTAACGGACACAGATTCATTTTGGTTGCCATTGACTACTTCACCAAGCGGGTAGAAGCAGCTTCATACAAATCGGTAACCAAGAAAGTTGTAGCTGATTTTGTTCGCAACAACCTGATATGTAGGTTTGGAGTACCAGAATCCATCATTACTGATAATGGAGCGAATCTCAACAGTCACTTGATGAGAGAGATATGTGAACAATTCGAAATCACTCACCGAAACTCAACCGCCTATCGTCCCCAAATGAATGGAGCTGTAGAAGCCGCCAACAAGAACATAAAGAAGATTTTGAGGAAAATGATTGATAATCGCAGAGGTTGGCACGAGATGTTGCCATATGCTTTGTTGGGTTATCGAACGACTGTCAGAACATCAGTTGGAGCTACTCCATATCTGCTGGTATATGGAACAGAAGCAGTTATACCTGCAGAAGTTGAAATACCTTCGTTGAGAATCATCCAAGAAGCTGAATTGGGTGATGCTGAATGGGTTCGCAAGCGGATTGATCAGTTAACACTGATTGATGAGAAGAGAATGGTTGCTGTTTGTCATGGACAACTATATCGACAGAGAATGATTCGTGCTTTCCACAAGAAAGTAAAAGCCAGAATGTTTGAGGTTGGTCAGTTGGTCCTCAAACGCATTTTCCCTCATCAGGATGAGTACAAAGGGAAATTTGCACCAAATTGGCAAGGACCGTACATGGTTCGCAAAGTGTTATCTGGAGGTGCCTTGATCCTTTCGGAGATGGATGGCACCGAATGGGCAAAACCGATCAACTCAGATGCTGTCAAAAGATATTATGCGTGAAGTTTCAGTTTGTATTTTCTGTCATTTCCTTGTAATCGTTCTATTTGCTTGTAATCGTTTTGTTTAAAATCTATCCCTATGTAATGAACTACGTCTGACCTGAATTCTCAAGAATGAGATACGTAGGCGGCCTATGTCGGCCTCGGTCACCCCTTTATCCCTTTTAAAATATTTCATTTAGTATTTGAACTACGTTTGACCTGAATTCTCAATAATGAGATACGTAGGCGGCCTGTGTCGGCCTCGGTCATTTACTTATTAAAATTTCTTATTCTGTTAATCCGTGAGGGGGAACTACGTTTGACCTGATTCCTGCCTCAACGGGATACGTAGGCGCCACAAGGGCTCGGTCATATTTCCCATAGGATTTCTATTTCTCTTTACAATAGAAACTGAGATAGAATTTTTGAGAGGGACTCAAAAATTCTCAAAAGAAGATCTCTCCAACAAAGTTGAGACTGAAGTTACTTTGAGATTTGCAACTGGGACAGAATTTTTGAGAAGATCTCAAAAATTTCGTGATTTGCCTACCAACAGTTCGAGATAAGTCAAGATAGTTAACTGGGACAAAATTTTTGAGGATAACCTCAAAAATTTCAATAAGGTTCAGCGAGAGTTTAGAGCAACTTCGAATACTTCCCAACAAGCAATCAGATAGATCCCAAAACATCAGCTCCATATGACATTCACTAAGCTTAACGTGACATGAAACTTGGCAGTGACTTTTTCCAAATACTATTTTTGAAAATCTATTTTTCCTTAAAAACCTTTCCCTCACCTTTTAATTATTCTTGCATAAAAATGTTTTGTCTTAACTACCAAGAAGCGGGAGATCGGAGAAAGCAAGACAAGAAGCAGACAACCGAAGAGATCGACACAGATCAGTTCATTTTTAAAACTAACAATTTTTCTGTGGATGCAGGTCTATAGATTTACCTCAAAATCAACATATTCCACCATTCAATAAGTGTGGAGAAGTCAAAAGGGCGAAGAGCTCCCTAAGATTGACAATTATTCTGTGGATGTAGGAAATACTTTATGCTGCTTATATCAAAGATTTTGGAATATAAATAACATTATTTCTTTCAATTTCCAACAATGAGAAGTCCATAATGAACGTGCAACTATGTTCAGAGATAGGACAAATGAAAACCACGAAGAGAGCAATATTATTATTTCCTAGCAACTAGAGACACCTGGAAGACGTTTATCTGCGTTATATTATCAGATGTGATAATATTCTTACCCTGAAGGTTACTTATATCCTATTGTCGAATGAAAGGATACCACTACCCGGAGA